CCCCTCTTCTGTGGAACCAGCTTCCAGTTTGGATTCGGGAGACAGACACTATCTCTACTTTTAAGATTAGGCTTAAAACCTTCCTTTTTGCTAAAGCATATAGTTAGGGCTGGACCAGGTGACCCTGAATCCTCCCTTAGTTATGCTGCAATAGACACTGTGTGATAAAAAGGATGTTACCCTATCTCCCTTCGAATGGTTTCAAATGTAAATGCATCCAAATAAATTGGATATCTTTTTTTTTAAGACTTACATATACTGTGTTAGTTCATGTATTCTCCTCCTCTTTGAGACCTCTGCCATTTTTACCCAGCTATAAACAGTTTCACATTTTCAAGACTGTATCATCCTAGAATGTTTATAAAGTTAAAAAGAACTGCATTGGATTTGTGTATAACACAACCAAAGCAGTTAGAGTACAATTAAACAAAAACAAGCAACAAACAAACAACCTTTATTTGTCACATGCACAGTCATCATACAGAGTACAACATGCTGTAAAATGCTTGTGCAGCCACAATTACTGATGAAACAACTATTATCTATGATAAAAAAAATAAAAAAGAAGATATATATATATATGTAATGTTATTAATGTAATAACAGTACTTACTAAATATTGCCGCTATTTCACAATAGTCTGCAGGTACATATCTGTGCTTAGCTGACTCTACCCACTTTGTTGCTATGTCTGTAAACTCTGTGCCTATTTCATGTTCTCAAAAACAAGACTTTGAAAGAATAAATATTGGGTTAACTAGCTCTGTTAATTCAAATTAAGAGAAATATCCAGCTACCTTTAAGCTAGACCACAATATCATTCAGCAACCAAACCTTTGTGTCTAAAGTGAGCTACATGTGAGTGAACAGATCCATATTTTTCCCTCACAGTAACATGAACATCCACATTTTGCACATATGGTACATCAGTGAACTCTGTTGATCATTATAAATACAGTTACTGGTTTTCTTCAGGTTTGGGTGTTTGTTGTTGGACTGTAGAATTGGGCTTTGCAGCTCTGTCCACCTGAGCATACACCGTCTCTGGCTGAGGGATGTTTTCAGTCTTAGTGGATTTTTGTGCAGTATGAAACTCCACCAAAGCATAAGTAGATGTTGGAGAATTACATGATTCGTGTCCTGAGGGAGTCTGATTTTGAGTCTGGCCTGGAGTGATATCCTGGAAATAAACCAAAAGATCTTTGTTAGGAAAATGTCATAGTCATGATTACTTTATCTTACATGTGTTATACAATAATAAGCCAGGAAGTCTAAATGCAAGAAAATATCACAAACAGTGATGTCTAAATGTGGCAAGAAGAAGCATAAGGTTGGATCTGCATCAGCAGACTAGATGGAACAGTTGGTGTAGAAAGGAGATGGGGTTGATTTTAGAAAGTAGCTTGTGAAACAGTGTTTGCTCATGTGTAGTTGTAGACTTTAGTCCAGTTTAAAATTTAAAGGATTTTGTTTAGGAACAAATCTGGTTTCAATAATTTAATTACTCACAATTAAACCATTCGTTCCCACAGTTTGACTAGCAAAGTGGGAGAGGTTCTTCTTCTGGTTTTTTTTGGTTTGTTTGTTTGTTTTTCAAAAAAAGTTTCCGCTTACCTCAGGAACCGCATATATAGTATTTTCCTGGTTCCCGCCTTTACTTTTACCTGTAAGTCAGTCATAGAAAATATAGATTGACTTGCTTGAAATTTAGATTTTGCAGGATAAATTTTATTTCCTTATTAAAGTGTTATATTTACATCTTCTACAAGGTGATTTTTTTAGTACATAAAAAAACGATCTCACTGTAGCCAAACAGAAGTGATATAGTGGACTAATACAATAACATTTATTCCCGATTTTCTATGTTAACTCATGCAAGTTAAACAGAATTTTGATAAAACCCTTTTCTGTTCAGTAGACTGTAAACAGATCAGTCTGCTTTAAAAAAAAAAAGAAAAAGAAAGAAAGAAAAACCTCATCCCTCTTTGCAGTCAAAGTGATTTTTATATTTTTATAGCTTTCATTAAGTGTGAAAAAACATGCCTATGGAACCTGTCAGAGTCACACACACACACACACACACACACAC